TGAACAAAATGTGAATTCTTTCAACTGCATCAACTGTGAGAATGGACTTTTGCTCACTGTGTGCAAGGCCTGGGTGTGACATCACCTGCCTACCTGGGGTCCTCAGTCCATGGGAAGGCCTCAGGGCCTGTGGGGAAGGAGATAGGTGGATTCACATGACATTTGTTACCCTGCTGGGCAGGAGGATCCCCACCCTACTGCCGTGCCCTTCCAGCTGGAGAGGGGCCCCAGGCCCGCTGCCCCCACGGGATTCCTGATGGTCTGTGGCCGTGTGTGTTTGTGGGCTGTGCATATGTGTGAATTATGTGTGAATATGTGCAGGCTTGAGTGTGCAAATGGGTGTGTATGTGAGGGTGTGAACAGAGTGTGAGATATGTGTGAGTGCACCTGTGAGATGTGTGAGTGCATGTGTGAGATGTGAGAATGTGCATGTGAGATGTGTGAGTGCACATGTGAGATACGTGAATGCACTTGAGATGTGTGTGTGCATGCATGTGAGATGAGTGCACATGTGAGATGTGTGAGTGCACGTGTGAGATGTGAGAGTATGTAAGATGTGTGAGTGCACGTGTGAGATTGTGTGTGTGCGTGTAAGATGTATCAGTGCACATGTGAGATGTGTGAGTGCCCGAGTGAGATGTATGCATGCACGTGAGATGTGTGAGTGCACGTGTGACATGTGAGTGCCGGTGTGATGTGTGAGTGTATGTGTGAGATATGTGTGTGCGTGTGTGAGATGTGTGAGTGCTCGTGTGAGGTGTGTGTGTGTGAGATGTGTGTGCATGTGTGAGATGTGAGTGTGCACGTGAGATGCATGTGAGTGCACATGTGAGATGTGTGTGTGCACGTGTGAGATGTATGAGTGCACATGTGAGATGTGTGAGTGTGTGTGTGAGATGTGTGTGTGCACATGTGAAATGTGTGTGTGCCTGTGAGATGTATGAGTGCACGTGTGAGATGTGTGAGTGCACGTGTGATATGTGTGAGGGTGCATGTTTGAGATGTGTGAGTGTGCGTGTAAGATGTGTGGGTGTGCATGTGAGATGTGTGAGTGCATGTGTGAGATGGGTGTGGGTGTGCGTGTGAGATGTGTGAGGGTATGCATGTGAGATGTGTGGGTGCATCTGTGAGATGTGTGAGGGTGCATGTTTGAGATGTGTGTGGGTGCCCGTGTGAGATGTGAGTGCACGTGTGAGATGTGTGTGGGTGCGTGTGAGGTGTGTGTGTGAGATGTGAGTACACAGGTGTGTGGGTGTGCATGTGAGGTGTATGGGTGCACGTGTGAGATGTATGAGTGCATGTGTGAGATGTGTGAGTACACGTGTGAGATGTGTGAGGGTGCATGTGTGGTGTGGGTGCATGTGTGATGTGTGTGAGATGTGTGTGAATGCACGTGTGGATTTGTGTGTGCATGAACTGTGTGGGCACGTGAGATGTGTGTGTGTGTGAAATGTGTGTGGGTGCCCGTGTGAGAGTGTGTGTGTGTGTGAGATGTGTGAGGGTGCACGTGTGAGATGTGTGTGAGTGCATGTGAAATGTGTGTGGGTGCCCATGTGTGAGTGTGCGTGTGTGTGTGAGATGTGTGAGGGTGTGCCTGTGAGATGTGTGTGAGTGCATGTGCGTGTGGGCAGGGGGAACAAGTGGTCCCAACATCTCAGTTGGGATCCAGCTCAGGACAAACGGCAGGGGAGGTGTTGAAAGAGGCCTGCTTTGCACCCAAGCGCAGCCGGTTCTTGGCTCCCACCAGTGCTCTGGGGGACTAGCAAGGACACCTGACTCTGGAGAGATGGCAAGCCCACCTCGGCCCTCATTCCCTTCATCTAGGGTATTCCCTGCCCCTTCTCCCCACTTCCAAACACGTGGGCAGGAGCCGGGCACAGGCCGCATAGGAGGCAGCCACTGGAAGGGTGGCGTTCGGATGCCTAGCCCTGGGTTTACCAGGCTGTGGGGAGGAGCACCAGGGTGTCTGAGGAGGGCAGGTGGGGGCTTGAATCCCCAGTGCATTGTGGATCTCAGGCCTAGCTCAGAGCTCCCAGCCGGGCCCCAGGACACACTGACAGACAGCTGTTCGCTGAAGGACTAGACAGGCTGGTGGGAATCCGCTCGGTGGCCCCGGTCAGGATCAGAAACAGTGCAGGTTGTCAGAACAGTGGACACGGTGGAGGTTGAAGGGCGCGGCAGAGGCCCCTGCTTGCCAATCTGGGGCAGCAGGGCTTCCCCAGGCCTCAGTTTCTCCACCTGGCATACTGACATGTTGTTCCCTGTCCTGGTTCCTGCCAGGACTGTTAGGAGGATGCATGAGGCCAGAAAACCGGGAGGAATTCCAGCCTATGGCCGGAGTCCAGTGCAGAAGCCGGCTGGTGGCCTGGGCCTGGGAGCTTCAGCACCACAGTGGGGGCTGGTGGGAGAGAGGTGGCCACCCTAGAGCTGTGCGCAGGAGCTGCCCAGGTGTCCCCTACACTCAGTGTGTCCTGATTGCCCCTCGCTTACAGATAAGGACCTGAGGCTCTGTGTCACACATGCCAAGAAGCAGAGCCTTGTCAGGGTCCTGCCAGAGGGCCCTGGGCTCCTGACGGGCTCTGGTGCTCAGGTGGTTGAGCTCCCGCTGTCTCTCCCCAGGCCAGGTCTCCCCCCTCTGTGTCTGGAGCAGATGCCAAGGGGGCTCCTCACAACCTGGCAACCATCACCACTTGGCACCAACCTGCCCCACCTCCCTTCCTCCTGCCTGGTCTCTTGCCCTTTGAGACGCCCAGCCTCGGACCCTCACTCCTGGTCTGACCTTTGCAACTCTGTCTCTGTCCCAGCTCTGCCCTGATACACCGCACTGGGAGGTGAGAACTCCAAGTTCAATCAAATCCTGGCTCTGCCACCTGCCTGCTGGGTGAGTGTGCCAGGTGAGACCTTTCCCTGTGGGGCCTCAGCTTTAGCTCAGGGCAGGGCCACCGTCTCTGGATCCCTTGCCGGCCCTTTCTTTGGTGGACTCTGCTCTCTCCTGGGTCCTCAGCAGCCAGCTGCCTCTGGACACGGGCACTGAGTCCAACCGGAAATCCTTCCTGTCCAGGGAGTTAGTGGTTTCCACGGCTCCAGGAGATGTTGAAATGCAGGCTGTGTTTGCCTTGGGTTTGTTTCCTTTCCACAGAAAACAAAACAAAACAAACACACAGGCGCATGCACACTGCCGCACACTCAAAGACAAGGGCATGTCATCAAACAACAGCCCCAAAGCCCCAGCCTCAGCATGCATGGGTGCCCAGTCAATGCTTACTGGATGTGCAAAAGCACCTGGGGCCCTGGGTTCGAGGCCTGGCTCCCTGTGTAATCCCTGGTGTGATCATTGGTCGGATGCTTCTGCCTGAGCCACAGACAATGGGAACAGGAGACCCACACTCCGCGGGCCTCTCCCGGGTGCAGGCAGCGCGCTTTGTCTTGTGTTCAGTGGGTTGTCTCATCCACACAATACCCCCGGGAGAGCTGGGGCTCGGAGAGGGGCAAAGCCACCCCGTGTCACACAGCTGGGGTCGTAGGGCTGGCCTGGTGGCAGTGCTGAAGGAGACAGGAGGGCCCTGAGACAGACACCGGCTCTGTGTCCTCAGATCTGCCCAGCAAGAGCAACAGCCCCACCTGGGCTGCTGGAGGACTTGGGCTGGCAGAGGGCACAGTGTGGAGGAGGGGGTCCTTCATTCTCCTCTCACCCTGGTGGAAGTGGGTGCCCTCTCCACTCCCTTGCTGGGCCTGGCTGGCAGCCACCTGTGTTCAGGCTGACTCTAGCCTGGCTGCCATTCGACACACTGAGGGCAGGCACCCTGCGGGGAATTCTCTAGATGCCAATCAGCAGGAAGGGGCTTTGTTCTGGGATTTGCTCTGTACCCCAAATAAGACAGGAGGTCTGGCCTTGGTGGTCTCTGTTCCTGCCTGTCCCTCCCCCCTCACATCCATGGTCCCTGACCCCGAGGACTGGCATTTTGTTTTCTTTGCTCCATCTCAGAGTCTGCAGTCAGGGGGCATGGACTGGCCCGTACAGATGTGCTTTGACTTCTACACTATTCAAAAATCCCGTTAACTCGTTGCCAAAATTTAAAACGTGGACAATTCCATGTAACAACTGGGATTTCCAGTCTTTCTCCTGCTGCCCCTTCCTCCCTCCCCGGGCAACATCATTCACAGATAGCAACAGTTGGCTGGAGCTGAGGACCAGGCGCCCCTTGACAGGACTCTCTGCCCCCCGCCTCCTCCCCATCACCGTGGGCCCCACGGGAACACTAGGGACCATCTGAAGCCCAGTGCTGCTCAACTCTGGATGCACAATGGACTGAGCTGGGGGGCTTTACAAACTCAAGGACACCCTGAACCCCTTCCTCGGCCTCCCTGGGGTGGGACCAATGATGTTCTTAAAGCCCCACAGGTGACTCGGGTGAGCAGCAAGGTTGAGAACAGCAAGAGCCGATGCTGGGCTTTGCAGGCGGGTGGCTGCTGACAGTCTTGCTTCGTTGTGATTCCCCATGGCCCTCAGCAGGAGCCCCACCTCATGACAGCCCAGGCCAGCCCAGGCTTTGGTCAGAAGAGGGGTCCCTGCGCCGTCTCCCCTGGACTCCTCTGTTTGCTCACTGTGTGATGCTCCGTGTCTGGGCCCAAATCCTGATCTTGGCCGAGTGTGCCAAGTGGGAGCGGCCCAGGGCTGCCGGCTCCGAGGCAGATTCACTCCTATATATGGTCACCCGGGAGTCCCCCCACTGAGTGAATGCGTGACCTCATCTGCCGACAATCTCACCCAGTCTGGGGCCAACTTGGGGAGGGCCGTCGCCCTGCAGAGTGTTCAGCTGGGGGCAGAGAGACTGGGAGGAGGCAAATCAATGGCATGGAGGCAGGACAATGACAAGATGACCCAGACCCAGGGGAGCTGAGGCCAGCCCCAAGTCTCTCTGACGCCTGCCCCGTCTCCTGCCTCTGAAAGAGTCCAGCCTCCCCACACGCTTGCGTGAACAAGGAAACCTGTGAGCCTCTTTTGCTTTTAAAAGTCCTTTTAATACAGCATGAAGAGGCTATATTTCTATAGGCGAGCCGTATACAGATTCTCCAGGAATAAGGCACACAACGGAATGCCATCCCAAGGGCTGCACTTCGGAGATGTCGGAGCCTTCTCCACGCACCCTCCGAGCTGGGCCCCCGGGTTCTGTTTTGTCTTTTTAGCTGGACTCACACGTATGGACAGACACAGACACAGATGGGGTCACCGCATGGGGGTGGAGGAGGTCCGACGGCAAGGTTGGCAACAGAGAAGGGGATAAGCCCGCTGCCACAGCCCCCGGGGACTGCTTGGCCATCTCGCTGAAGGCTGGAATACTCCCATTTCAGGGTTAGTCGTTGGACTGAGCTACAATGTAGTGAGGTTGGATTAAATATTCATTTAGAGTAGATTCAAGTCTATTAGACGCTGGAGGGCTGGTGTAAGGGCTCCGGTTGACATTTCCAAGTTCAAGGAGCATGGCCTGGAGGAGGCACGGCTCAGATGGCAAAGCTCCGGAGCGGCGAGGCCAGGCTTTGCCCCACTTCTTCTTCCCTCCTGGGGCCCTGCTGATCGAGAGCCCTCCCACCAAGCCAAGACGCTGGTGGACCACAGAGGGGCCGGTTAGTCAAATAAGCTGCTTCTTCCCCTCGCCCACCCCCTGCCCCTCTACAAAATGAATAAAACCGTAATAACAAGATAAGAAGAAGAAGGTGCCAGAGAATGGATTACAATGCTGTTTGTTATCCTCAGTGGAAGAGGCACAAAGGGGTCACCATTCCCTTTTTCACTGTGTATCAAATTATAGCTTCCCTTAAAAAAGGCAATACTTTTCAAAATACACATATGTATAAATACAGGACAAGAACATATTAATAAGCCTAAACACTTGAATAATATGCTGGCTACTTAATACTGATATTTTCATCCAGGGAAAACAACACAGAAAAACAATATGGCTTAAAGAATTGCAGAGATTTTTTTCCTCATCAGAATTATGTACCAACTTCATATAATATTCTATGTAGACAATATTTCCTTCTGAATGTAGTTCAGTTGCATATTTTTACAGACCAAAGCATAGTAAAAAACAAACAAAAACCAACCAAAAACCCAATAACGGGAAACAGAAAAGTTCTCACCATAAATATTTTCTTGCAGTTCAACCAGAAGGTTGGCAAAATACTTCCAGAAATCTTTGTTTGATATTCTCTTGCCCTCCTGAAAGTTCTGAAGTTTTGAAAATGCCTCTCTTTTTGTTTGTTTGTTTATTCTCAAAAATCAAACAATTATATTTTTCTTTTCTTTTTCTTTTTTTTAAAAAAAGGCCTTCAAATATATACAGACAAAAAATCACTGTGAAGATTTTTTCGGGAAAAGCTACCAAATTCAGTGTTGTGAGAAAAACTGGTAACCATGCAGAAATTTTAACATCTATGAATATTTTTTTTTCCAAAATACACACATAGTATTTTTTTTAAAAAAGGAATTCTGTGTCAAGTATAACTCAAAATAAATACAAATTCACAAGTAGAACTATTGAATACTTCATACGGGGTGAACACCATAATCTCCCAACTAGATCGCTAGATCTACCAACTGCAAGCGATTGTCCCTTTTGAACTTACTAAAACCACACACTTTCCTGTCCCCTGGGCTCCCGGCCCTGTGAGCACTTAATTCTCACGGCACCCAGCCTACATGGCAGTGGCTTTGCTGACCACAGAGAGTTCCCCAGTTCAGCCAGAGCCCAGTCAAGGGGAGCATAGGGGGTGGACCTCAAAGCGGGAACCTCAGCCCCCAAGGTGGCTGGCTCTGCACAGATGGCAGGGCACTGGCTACCTGCTGAACAGCTCACTGGCCAGGTCACTTTGGGGTGATATCCCAACTCCCCTTAGCCCGTGCAGGGAAGCTCTGGCCTCCAGTGGTCAGGGACCTGGGTTCTTTTTAGGGTGTGGGCTCCCCCTGGGGCCTGCAGCACAGCTGGCAGGCCCCAGGCATCCTTGGGCCAAGGTCCCACATGGGGCTGGGTCTCTGGAAGGGTTGGCACAGGCACACTGCCCACCACTGTGAACATTCTCTTTAGTGATGCAGTAGGATGACTGTCAGTGGCAGCTTCTCCTTGAGGACAGAAGCCTGGGCCGGGGCCAACCCCAGCTCACCTCAACACCTTGGAGAAGACGGGGAACAACGCGCTCGGGGAGTCCTTAGTAGCAGTCCCCAGTGGTGACAAGAGTGTCCACAGCCTGCTGCCTGGAGCAAATGTACCTTTTTTAAGTGCTCAGAGGGTATGGCCCCTCAAATCCACCCTGCAGCTCCCTGGCTGCAAATACACTCACTCCATCTTTTCAACTCGCTCCCTGGACCCCTGGTTAACACTTCACTGTAACTCCTCAGTTGTACAAAGCATTTTCATTTGAATACAAAAGGCAACTGGACACCAGGTGGGCATCCTTGAGGCCATGGTAAACACTGAATTTCAGGCCCATTTCGTGGTCTGATTTTTTTTTTTTTTTTTTTTTTCCCACAGAGGCATCATGTAGGGGCAAAATCAAGAAACCCAGTTCTAACAGCCGGGAGAAAGGAAGGGTCATGACTATGGAAACGGGGCTTCTCATCCGGGAGACAGAGGAGCGCACGATCCCGCTGCCAGTCAGGACAGTGGGCTCCCTGGCCAGGGACGTGCCACGAGGCCTCTCTGCTCCCTTGGGAGGTAGGAAATTATTGTCCCCATTTTAGAAATGAGGGGTTCTGTGGCTTGTCTCAGGGTTCCCCACGTGAGGGGCTAGGAGACCGAGGTGAGAAGGAGGAGGCTCCTCCATGTTTGCAGGGATTGGGGATGAAAAGCAAGGCTGGGGCTGTAGGGGCCAGCAGGGGAGGACTCAGCATCCCTCAGCCTGACTTCCTAAGACACCAAGTGAGGGGTCACGGTGCGGGGTACCTGGCACCCGGGAGGCTTCTCCCACCGTTCTGGGTGAAACTCCCCAAATAAAGCTCCAGGACACAGCACCGGGCCAGCATGAATCCCAGAACCACAGAGCTGAAATGGGCCCTCTGCTCTCTGGTGTTATGCTGTCATTTAACTAATGGGGAAACTGAGGCCCGGAGATGTGAATTCCTTGCCCAAGGTGACAGAATGCGTCAGCAGCAGGGCAAGGACTTGAGCCCAGGTCTCCAGAACGCCAGGCTTGCGTCCTTTCTGCTAGAACAGACACGCTGGGCTTCCACGCTGGGCCAAACTACCTTGATGTGGACCCCCAGCGTGGGTGGGAGGCACAGGGGAAGGAAGGGGAGTGGGACTGACAAAACCTAAGGCAGTCTGGTGGGGGTCGTGGGAGGGGCTGCTCACGTGCCCCAGGACACATCCGTCCAGCGTTTCGTGCCTCCCCTGTGCCTAACCCCTCCTATCTGGGTCCATAGGGTAGGGAGGGGGGCACACCCAGGTGCAATGCCAGTGATGTCAGAGGGGGTCAGGATTTGGGGCTTAAAGTGGGCAAGGGACAGAGAGGTCCACTCCCCAGCAGCTGCTAGAACACATGTCCCCTTGCCAAGATTGCTGACTCAGGAAAGAAACAGGGATTTCCGAGAGTGGCTTTCCATACCCGGCAAACCGGAAGGTTGTGGGTGGGGGCAGGCGGCCTGGCTGGTCTGGGGGAAGTTTGGGATTCACAGTAAATTTAGTGCACCTGTGGCCAATACAAGGCTGCTCACCCCAAAGAGGCTCTCAGAGGAGAGTCTGTGGGGATACCCGGGGCTCCTGGACATGGGCTTTTGCTTGCTTTTGTCCCCTCCACAGAGACCTCAGGCCCACCTAAAGAGCCCCAGACTCCCTGCTTTCCCTGGCCTGTGGGGGCAGCGATGTCAGTAACACTGTTTGTCAACACACACAAGACAAGGACGCTAAGAGCCCCCGGCCCAGCCCCGCAGGCCTGCGAGGACACCACACGCACAGGGCGACACGCAGCCCCTTGGAGCAGCACAGGGAAGCAGCGTCTCCTTGGGCTGGTCGGGGGCGGCTCTGGGTGCGAGCGGGCAGCTGGTCACTGCACGCGACGGCAGTAGTAGCCCAGGACCTTGCACTTCTCGCAGAGGTGCTGCGGGTGCTCCTTGCTCTGGTCGGACACGTCCAGGCCATCGGGCTTCTCGAGGGGTCTCTGCAGAGAGAAGGAGGAAGGGGCCCAGGGGAGTGAGGGGAGAGAAAGACAGAAACACAGAAACAGACAGGGAGAGACACACGGAGACAGACAGGTGAGACAGGTACACAGGGAGGGGACCAGACAGACAGAGATGCACATCTCTACAGAGACAGAGACTGACAGACACACAGAGGGAGAGACACACACCGGATGCGGGGTGGGGAGGGGGCACCTGTGGTCACAGGTCATTTCAACCACGGTGCTGGGGCCCTCCTGCTGAGGGAGGCTCCCTGCGATCACCCAGTGAGTGGGCTCGAATGCCGGGTCTTCTACCTAACAGCTGTCTGACCTTGGGCAGGCCACCTGCCCCCTCTGGCCTCCATGCTCCCATCTGTGAACAGGGATGCTGATAACAGCTTTTTCATGGGCTTGTTCTCACCAGACAACTCAATGGAGATAATGAATACAAAGAGCCCGGCATGCAGAAGCTGTCTGTGGTTTGTCTTATCGGTAGGAGGGGGACACCAGCTGGTGCAGGGCCATCAAAATTGAGCCAAGATCCCAAGGTGAAAGGACCTAGGAAGGGTAAGTTCCCTGCTCTCCTAGACGTCCCAGGGAGACCTCCAACAGCTCCTCTGTCTAGGGCTTGGGTGTCCCCAGTTTACTGCCTGGACGGTAAGAAGGCTTTCCACCTTGAGTTAGAATCTGGGTCCCTGTCGCCTCATCCTGGAGATCCAGCCACAGACTCTGCTCGGCTCCCAAAGGACCGTCCGATCAGTATAGTTGTGAAGTGTCCCCTCCAGCACCCCAAACCCAAGCTGGTTTGCAGCCCCCACCCCCTAGGCTGGCCAGGGCCTCTTCCTGCACCCAGTCTTCCAGGACAGGCCAGAAAGGCCAGACTCAGCAGGGCCCACACAGCCCTCACTCCCCATGGCTTACACGTTATGTGGCAAAGTACTGCCACCTAAGTCAGGCCACTCTGGAACACACCCTAATGTCACCACTTCCCTGTGAGTGGCACAGGGAGGAAACAGGCCACAGATGTATGAGGAAGGGAGTTTCCACAGACGAGGCAACTGAGGCTCCAAGACATTAGGGACATCCCTGGGGCCTGCAATGAGGAGGTGGTAGTGTGTGGCCTTCCAGCCACACATGCTGTTTCCAAGCCCTGTGCTGCAGGGACATGCTGCCTACTGCCTACAGTTGGCCCCACTGGCTGCACTGTACTGGGGCTCAGGGCCAGCTTATGACCAGTGCCCACCCCAGACCGCCGCACTCCCTCCCAGCCTGGCTGAGTCCCTGGCTTTCTGTCCCCAGGACAGCACCTCCTGTGTTTGGTGGAGGGAAGGCCATCTTCACCGGCACAGCGCTCTCCCCTGGGAATTCACGGGCACCTGCCAGCTGCACCCACCCTGACTGGCATCTGCCTTCTGAGTCTTCATCTCTGGGGCTGACAGAGGTTTGGCAGGCCCAGGACTGAGGGCAGAACCTCCATGGAGACTGAAGGGGTCATCGCCAGTTTGTTTTGAAGACTGTTCTGGAACACTCTGTGTCTGGTATCTTCTGCAGCGTCTCCATATGACACGGTATCACCAAAGTCCGACAGACAGAGCTTTGCATGCCAGCTCTGCCACCTAACAGCCAACGGCTGTTGGGAAGGAGCTTTCTCCTCCACAACCTCGACGTGTCCTTTTGGGACCTGGGTGGGAGGTTAATAACATTCATTGCCTTTTTCCTAGTTTTTTTTTTGTGTGTGTGTGTGTGTGTGTGTGTGTGATACAGAAGTAAATAAGATGACTGTCTTCTTTTTACTTTTTATTTATTTTTATTTTTTCAGACAGAATCTCAGTCTGTCACCTAGGCTGGAGTGCAGTAGTGTTATCTCGGCTCAGTGCAACCTCGGTCTCCTGGGTTCAAGCGATTCTCCTGCCTCAGCCTCCCAAGCAGCTGGGATTACAGGTGCACACAACCACCCAGCTAATTTTTGTATTTTGAGTAGAGACGGGTTGTGCTATGTTGGTCAGGCTGGTCTTGAACTCCTGACCTCAAGTGATCCACCCATCTTGGCCTCCCAAAGTGTTGGGATTACAGGCGTGAGCCACCACACCTGGCTGACTGTCTTTTTTAGAGACAGCGTTACTGTCACATAGGCTGGAGTGCAGTGAATCCTCCCACCTCAGCCTTCCAAGTAGCTGGGACCACAGGCATGCACCACTACGCCTGGCTACTTGTTTAAAAAAATTTTTTTATAGCGATGAGGTCTCATTATATTGACCAGGCTCGTGTTGAACTCCTGGGCTCAAGCAATCCTCTCACCTTGGCCTCCCAAAGTGCTGGGACTACAGGTGTGAGCCACTGCGCCCAACAGAGATGACTGTCTTAAAGTATTTTATAACCATAAAAAGCTCTGGAAGACTTAGTGATCACAGTGTGACGTGTAGCAAATCACTTAGCTTCTCTGGGACTCAATTTTCTCCTCCATAAAATGGGGGCTAAGTCTGTAGGCTAACTCTACATGATAGGGTTGCTGTGAAGAGTAAGTTAGTCTATGCAAAGGGATTAGAACAGTGCCTGGCACATAGAGAGCATTCAAAATGTTGGCCAGTATTGGTATCATGTGTTATATAGCGTTAGGGGCAGCATGGCGCAGGGGAAGCCGCGAAGTCCCGGGTGACATGCTCTGGAAACATCCTTGCCAGCGCCCTCCTGGGCTCATCTGAGCTGCGCCCCCTCCTTGGCCGTGACCCCATGGTGCAGGTTCCCTCTGTGGGCCCTGGTCTGACTGCTCAGCCCCGCTTGGCCTGCCACTGGGCGAGGAGCTTGGGGAAGCTGTCAAGACACTCTCCTCTGTGGACGGAAAACACTGCGCAGCTGGGGCTGACCGTGGTGGAGGGCCTCCCCCACTCCCTGCAGCAAGGCAAGGCCCAGTGGCGTTTTCTTTTTGGGGGGACCAGAGCCGGCAGGGGGAGCTGCAGCTGGAGGCTGACAGGAAGCAGATGTGGCGGCCAGGAGAGTGGGGAGGTGGAGGGTTCTCCGGAGACGGAGGGCACACAGGTCAGGGCTCTGCGGGGTAGGAGAAATAAACCAGCCCTCTCCACCGCGGGGCGCCATGGGGAGCACCACCGCTGGGCTCTTCAAAGGCTCTGGACAGCTGGGGCATAGAGAGGCACCACCCTCCCACCCCCACCCAGCTTGGGAGCTCAGGAGAGATCCAGCCCTGGGTGGTGGGAGACCTGGGTTCCAAGGCCCCTTGATACCAGCTGACTGGTCACCCTGCTCATGTCCTGTCTCCTCTTGGGGCCTCGGTGTCCCCAGTGCACACAGTAGGTGCTAAACAGTAGCCTAACGACTGGGAGAGGGGAAGGGCCCAGACACACGCTCTTGAGGGATCCTTTAGATTGGGTCCTGGGAGAGCTGATCCTGAATGTGGAGAAGGGGGACAGGTGGTCAGGGAGGCTGCGCTGGGACTGAGCTTGGCAGGATGGAGATGGCGAGGCAGGTGAGGCCGTTGCCAGCTTGGGGATGGTGACATAAGCCAGGAATGGGCCTGGCATTATGGAAAGGGAATGGTGAGGAACCCTGCCCAGCCAGATGCTAGGGCGATATCGGGGCAGGGGCAGGGGCCGAGGGCTGGAGCCACTGCAGAGACTCGGTTCCTGTGGGGCTTGGGTGCATGGGCTGGGCGCTGCCTCTCCGCTTAAGTCACAGAAGGGGTCGTAAGGACCCAGCCCCCAGGACGGTCAGCACAGACCCCAGCAGCCCCCATACATCTGAGGCCCTGCAGAAACTGGACTGTTCCTGACTCCTGCCCCCAGCCAGCCACCATTATCTGCCTTCCCTCCCAGGCCACTTATCTGCCCTTCCAGGCTCCAAGCTATCCTCCAGGCCCCTAGTCTACTGACCTTCTACCCCATCAGAGCTCTGCCCCACATCTCTCCCTCAGGGGAGCCTTCCCCCAATAGCTCCCAGAGCTCTCTCCCCTCCTGCCTCCTCTGTCTTCTTGTCCTTTGTGGTGACTCAGCACACATGGAAGGCCCACCCCACCCCTGGCTCCTCCATCCCCCGCTACCTCATCGACAGTGACCTTTCCCTCCCACCACCCCTCAGCCACACCCTAGACTTGGGCTTCTTCAGAAACCACCCGTCTCTGCCCCCTCCTTTTCTCCTTCCATTCCACTGGCTCCCAGACTCCCCCCAGTCCACAGGCCCACCAGGCCTCCCTCTCCACCGGGCCTCTCTAGCCTCCCCTTCCTGCTGATGCCCCATGATGAAGCACGGTCGTCATGCTTTTACAAATATGCCCACCCCCCAGCCATCTGCCCTCTGGAGTGCTTGCCCAGCCAACCTCTGTCCTGTGGACCCTCTGTACACCAGGCCTGGCCTGCACCTGCCAGGCGAGCTGTGCTGGAGCAAGTCACGGAACTAGGCTGACACCTGCCACTGCATTAGGATCACGTACCTCCCCCGGGCCTGGGATGCGGCTGGGTGGTCCAGCCAGCTTTCCCTAGCAGGCTGCTTCCTCGCTCGTCCTTCCTCAAGCCCTCCCCAGCCCGCCTCACTCCTACCTGAGAACTTTGTCTTCCATTTGCTGAGAAAACAGAAGCGTTGAATGTGAGGTTCTTCTTGCATCATCCAACCCATGGACCTTCCTAATTACCCCCTCTTCTCCCTCCCTCCTGTGCCGATGGGTGAAGCATCTCCTGTTTTTCCCCTGAATCATCAGCCTTTTGCTGTCTTCTAGATCATTCTCACCAGACTGCACTGGGCTCCAGGCTCTACCATCTCCACAACACCTAGCTCCAGGGCTCCTTCCTGGTTGTGGCTACTGCTGTGATTCTCTCCACAATCAAACTCTCCTCAAGAGACTGGACAATGAGGCATTCCCTCTGCAGCCAGATCCACACCAGCCTCCCCTGACACTGCTCCATGGACACTGCCCCGACCTCCAGGCCAGCTACACATCAGCACCTCCACTCTCGCCCTCACGCCTGACTGGCCAGGCTTCTGTGCTTCTCAAACCTTGGTTGTAGTTCAAGTTCCCCAGGTAAAAGTGATGCTTTTGTTTTGCTTTGTAAAACTTTGAGGACCGTCTCCTTATTGCCAAATTTCCAAGGCACTCCTCTGTGGTCTCTATACCTGACATTTGAGCACCAAGCACCAGTCAAGCCTCCAACAGCACTTCCCGAACCCCACCCCCGGCTTCCAGAACTCCACGCTCCCCGGTTCTCTTTCTCCTTACTGGGTCTTCCTCCTCTATCTGACCATCAAACACTGGGATTCAGCAACACTTGGTCTAGGGAATCCCTTCTCTACTCCGTCCACATTCTTTCTACAGGAACTCAAATCCATTCCCTACCATGTTTAGGTTGATGACACCCACTTATGTGTGGGCCATCTTGACTTCTCACATGAGCTTCAGAATTACAAATCTAACTGCCTTCTTGACGTCTCTAATTGGATTACTGCGAACATCTCAAATGTAATCTGTATCAGAGGAGCCCTGCTTTCATTTCCAACACCTGTGTCCCAGCCAGGCTGCCCAGTTCAGGAACAAGCTCCTCCATCCACTCAGGTGCTCCAGCCTGCCTGGGGTGGGACTGTTCTCCGGGGCTCCTGTTCTTCCCCCACATTCCACCACCAATCTGATGATGCTTGGCGTCGCATCCAGCTCCAGAGCCTCCTCCAGAGTTCAGCCCCCTCCCAGCTTGTATGAGGGCTACGGTGTTGTCTTTCTCACTGGTCTCCCCACTCAATCTCTGCACACAACCAGAGTAACTGACTTAAAATGAATCTGAAAGCCCTGCTGCTCTTGGGTTCCTCAAGTGCCCCCAGGGCTCTGTGACCGCCCCGTCTAGCCCTCTGCCCCAAGCCTCTCACTGCCCTCTCCTGCGCCTTCACTGAACTGTGGGCCGGGAGTGCCCCCAGTCCTTATGGCCTCAGGGCATTTGTACCTGCTGTGCCCTCTTCCTAGGATGGCCAGCCCCCAACCTGTGATAGGCCTAGCTTCCCCCTGTCCTCCAGGTCCCTGAGTCAGCAGCAGCTCCTCTGAGTGACTTTCCCTGTGCAGCTGCCTGAGGTAAGACCTTCCTAGGAGGAGATGGCCCCATCTCTCCCACATGCCTGGGCCTGGTGCACACAGCCTCCCTGTTGACACTGGCCGACTGGATGGATCAAGGAAGGAAATTGGAGTTTCCTGCTGTTTCCTGCTGTCCTCACGTCTCTGTCTCACAACAGCAAGCCCTGTTCACTAGTTTCATAATTTGCCGGGATTCTCTGGTCTCAAGATCTTGGTACAGTTGCCCCACCATTCTCCTTCCCTTCCCTTCCCTCCCATTTCAGATGAGACAAGGAAAGAAAGAGTCAACTTAGAGACATATCCCTCGTAGGAGGGAGTAAACTGAGGCCCGGTAAGGGAAAAGTCACCCTCCCGTGGTCCTTCCGAGAAGGCCCCAGCCCGCCCGGCTCACCTGCTTGTGCGGGTACACGTTGATGTGGCACTTGATGCACTCCTGCCCCATGTTGGCCCAGGAGTTCCCGCTCATCCATTTTCTCTTGCACTTGGGACACTTGTACTCGCCGAAGCAGCGCTTTTTGCCCTGGTATGGAGTCAGGCCCTCGCCTTTGGGGCGTGCCTACAGGGCAGGAAGCAAACACAGGGGATTGGGGTCCAAAGGCCAAGATGATGCCCCATGGGGTTCCCCTGGCCTCTGCCTCAGTCTTCATGTCCTGTGTCCATGTGTACAGGCCCCTTTTGCCCCCAGTCTAGATAATATCAGGGATGTCCCCAGAGCACAGACAGGATCCAAAGGCTGGGAGACACATGGGGAACAGAAAACAGAGGAGATGGTGAAAAAACAGAGGAGCACGTCTCTTCTAGATTTAAGGAGTAAAGTATTCAGTGGTGGCTGGAAATTACTTCCTTAACTCACACGTCATCAAGGGCAGCTGGTCTCATGGGCCTGCACACAGGCACTCTTTGGCCTACCCAGCAGTGTGCTTTAAAGGGTCATTGAAGAGGCAATACAAGCACGGAAACTGGTGGCAGTGCCAATGAGTCTTCCTCCTCCCTGCACCCAGTCAACTCCTCTACTAGGAGGCAATCCAATGTCCCTCATACCACTCCAAAGGCGGGCCCTGCATTTACAGATGCATATGACATACAAATTTGTACGTACATTCTTTTCCCTCATGAAAATGGAAACAGATTATCCATCCGGTTCTGCGTCTTCCATTTTAAAACCATATCTTATTTTGTTTTTTCGAGACAGGGTCTCGATATATTGGCCAGGCTGGACTCAAACTCCTGGGCTTAAGGGATCCTCCCGCCTCAGCCACCTGAGTAGTTGGGACTACAGGTGCATACAGCTGTGCCTGGCTACTGTTTTCTTACTGAATAATACATGTTAGAGTTTTCCCTACATCACTACAAATACAGCTACTGCATTCGGTTTAACAGCTGCACACAGTATGAGTCCATGCAAGCTCCATAGTGCATGGACCAGTTACTATTTTAGAACATCAAGCTTGTTTCTGTTCTTCCATCATTACAAACAATGCTCTAATGAACAACTTCATATGTGTATCATTTTGCACATGTGTGAGTGTATTTGTGAATATAGAAGTAAAATTGTTGGGTCAATAGGTATGAGCACCACTAATTTTTAAAGAGCAAATTCCCACTGCCCCTCCCCACATACTGCAGGTATCCCAACTTAACATTCCACATCAGCATCAACAGAGTTTTCATTATCACCAATCTAAGAGGTAGAAAATCTTCTCAGAGGAGCTTTGACATTCATGTCTTTTATTATGAGCAAGAGTGAATTTGCCATGCATTTAAGAATCACTTGTGTTTCATTTGTGAACTATTTGTTCATACTCTTTGTGATTCTTTTTTCCTGCAAGAGTAGCCTAATATTTTTCTTGTTGATTTGTAACTGCATTTTATATATGAAAGAAACAAGCTGTCTCCCACACAGTGTTATTTTAACAGCTTTACTGAGATATAATTCATGTATCTTACATTTTACCCATTTAAAGTGGACAAATCAATTGGTTTTAAGTATATTCACAGAGTTCTACAGTCATCACCACAATCTAATTTTAGAATATCTTTATTGCCCCCCAAAAGTAGCCCTATACCCAGTAATAGTCCTTCCCCATCCTACTCCCACTTCCTTACCCCACACAGCCCTAGGCAGTCACTAATGTACTTTCTGTCTGTCTGGATTTCCCCATTCTAGGTATTTAATATAAGTAGAAACATACAACATTTGTCCTTTTGTGTCTGGTTTCACTTAGCATCATGTTTTCAAGGTTTATTCATGCTACAGCATATGTCAACACTTTAGTCCTTTTTGTTGCCAAATAATATTCCATGGTATGGATATGCCATGTTTTATTAGCCCATTTATCAGATGATAGACACTGGGGCTTTCTCTAATGTTTGGCTATTATGAATAATGCTATTATGAACATTCACATGCAAGCTGCAAGTGTTTTTAAAAGTTGAATGAGTTACCCTAATATTTGCAAATGGGAGATTTCACACAAATACGACCACTCTGATCTAGAATCCCTGCCAGCTGAGGTTAAGGAGTGGCTACCCCGTCAGCTTCCTCCACATCACCTCTGCTCCCACAAGCTGCAGCTGAATTTATGTTCTCTACTAGGTCTTCGCAGGCTTTGAGTTGGAGAGGCTTAAACGCAGGCTCTCCACGGTGGCTATTCAAAGTGTGGTCCCCGGACCAACAGCGACAGCGCCACCAGCTTGTTAAAAATGTAGAGTCTCAAGCTCCACCTTGGATCTGCAGAATCAGAACTACATTTTAACAAGTGCCCCAGGGAATTAATATGCCATTACATTAAAGAAGCACTGGGCTATGAGATGATGTTGCCATAGTAACTTTCCTTGGGGAATTGCCCATTTATGAAGTGGTGCGTAATGGTTAAGGGCACACACTCTGGATCCAGATCCTAGCTCTGGAATCTTGGGTAAGTTACTTTACAAGGATAAGGACAGTAACTACCATATAAGACTGTTCTGAGGATTAAATGCAAAACATTTAGAACAGTGCCTCGCACACAAGGCAAAACAGGAATATTAGTGCTATTATTATTTATTAATGTAGAACAAAAAGAGGTATATAAAATGGGTACATAGTTTCTTCCTTTAGTAATCATGCCTCTTTGTCCCAGGCGCCATTACTACCACTCGGTGATAGCCTGCTAGAATTTCAGGCAAAACACTAAGGGGGGACATGCGTGCTGAGTGCGCAAACCTAAAGTTAGAAAGTGACACCAACACCACCCTGATCTCCTGGGCCCACTGCCTAAAGTCTTTGGATCCTCAGTGGCCTTCCTGGCAGCTGTAACATTCTTGGGAGAAGTTTCAGCCTGAGTTCCAGGGCAGGGCTGCCCTCAGCACTGGTCAGATCTGAGAGAGGGGTCAGCCACACCCGAGGGAGTGCTCAGTGGGCAGCCAGGGCCCAGGGGCCAGTCAGTTTGTAATAGAGGGGTCAACGTGTGCCTCTGAAGGCACACTGAGCTCTGTTGATCTCAAGTTAGTGGGTGTCCCTCTGACCATTTCTGGTGCCCGCTTCTCCTTCACCTGGGGTCTGGAACCTGTGGCTTCTAAGCCATCCCCTCTATCACAACCCCTCATCTTCCATCATCTGAAATAAAGCACTGGATGAACTCACTCCCCCATGTCTCCCCAGAAGCATCTACGTCTTCAGAGGGGATAAGGGGGCAGGCGTGGGTGCCTCCCTGATGCTGAGATCTGAGATTCCTTGATTGAAGGTGGGAACTTGGGGACTCTCACCAGCCAGGCCCACTCTGGAGCTGGTTCTGCAGGCCTCTTAGCTCAGGGAGCTCACAGGACCAGGTGCCTGGCCTCACACAGTTGGGGCAAAGGGCAGGGGTCAAGGTACCAGAAGGAGGGGTCAAGTCATTCCAGGACACTGGGCAGAGTGAAGCATGGGGACAGAGGCCACACTGGAGGTGGACTCTGGGAATTTGTTCCCCGAGCCCCTGCTTCAGAAATGAACAGGAAGGAAACCCACACAGATAAAGGAGACACTGAGTGCGAACTGAAGGGAACAGGAAAATGAAAGAGAAGAGCGAGGGGTGAGCCAGGAAGCATGGACGCACCATGTAATTAGAAAAGCAGCCGTCTGGAGCCATCCATCAGGGCGTGTGGGCTGCTTGGCAGGCAAGGGATGGGGCCCCAGCCTCCTGCAGGACCAGACATCCTCAGCGCACCATTCCCATGGCTGCTGTCAGGCCAGGCACTGGGAGGGCCTGGCTCCAACATGCCATTGCATGGGATGTGGCTCAAATTGTGGTCTCCAGGACCAGATGCCTGCAATGACATCTGGCTCTGCCTGTGACTATCTGGGGGGGTTCCTTGTCAAGTTATTCAAACTCTCCGTGCCTTGGTTTCCTCATCTGGAAACCAGGATGATGACAAAGGACCTGCCTCCCAGGGCTGTTGGGATTTGACACATTCATGCGTGTAAAGGTCTCAGCTCAGTTGCTGGCACACTGCAAGTGCTCGGTCACCATTAGCTATTTCAGGGTGATTCTCTTCTTCCTTGCCTGCACTAGGAGAGGGAGCAGAGGTGTCTAAGGTATTGCAGAGGCTAGGGCTGAGGTCCGCAGGCATTAGTCCCAGGAGGATGGTTCCAGAGATGGGAGGGAAACCTGGGAGGGACATCTGGGTCACTCTCTATCCCTGGGTAGGAACGGATTGGCAAGCAAAAGAAGAAACAGCATTAGGCGTCTTCGCTTTCTGGAATTCTCATGGAAGGACCGTGCTGCAGAAGCTCTGGGGACACTGGTGGCAGAGGTTGCGGGAAGAGGAAAGAGAACTGGCTTTAGTGTGGCACCGCCTGCGTGCTGGGCTTTATGCTCAGGACTCCACAGCCCACCAGGCCCCCAACGAACTCTCCTAGAATCCTGTGGGGCAGGGGACATTATCAACCCATTTAACAGATGGTGAAACTGAGGCACAGGGAATGGGTGGGACGTGCCAAAGTGCTTCCAGTGCGTGAAGGGCAGCAGGCTAGGCCCAGCAGGCTCTTCCACAAGGGCACACTTGATTCACCTCTTGTCTGCTATCCCCAAAATTGTCCCCACCATGATGGAGGCTTGTGCTGTTGGGGAGAGACCCCCTAGCAGGAATTTTTTAAGAAAATTCCTAGGGCCTCCCCTCAGCCCAGTCCAGTGTCAGGCCTTGGCTGTGACCTCCGTAGAGGTGGCCTGTAGGGCAGGGGTAAAGGCAGTGGATGGAGCAGAAGACAGGACTGTGGGCAGCTCTCAGCAGCGAGGAGCCACTTCCTGGAAGGGTTCAGTCCCGACATTGTTTATGCTTACAAATGAGGGCAGGGCCAAGGGGAGAAGGAATTTCTAACAGAACAAAGGCTTCTCTACTCACCACCCCCCCACCCCCCCACCATCCCCCAGCCCCGCCTCCTCCCAGAAAGGCACAGCCTCTTCTCATAAACTTCAGCATGAAACAGACGGTAACTGCTGACAGCACTGCAGGGGCCACCACCCGCCCGGTTGGGAAGGATGCCAGGCCTGACCAGGCTCTCCTGACCCAGGCCCCTGCCGTGTACCCCTCTGGGGG